TAAGCTTGAAAGACTAGTTATTCGAACTGCCACCGTACCTAAGTCCGCTAACGGTTGCGGATGGATTGAAGATAATTTCTGCTCCGTTAAGGGCGTACATCATCCAGTTTTGAGGATGGTGTCTTCCGTAGCAAATGTTTATGGCAAGTCGACCTAAGGTGTAAGGAAGTAAGGGACTTGTACAAGTGGCTTTTTATTGAAAAGATATTTAGAAATGTCAACGAAACATTTCCGAAAAATAGGGAAATAGCTTACTAATGTACCTCCGAAAAAAAATTAAAACGGCTTACCAAAAGCAGTTTCAAAAACGGGGTGTCCCAAATTTGACTCCATATAATAATTGGACTAAAAAACAAACCAAATGGTATGAATCAATGTTGCTTTTTGATGACCAAATTTTACAGCCACTTCCAATAAAGAATAAAGAAACTAATTTTTCATCGAGTTCATCAAAAATTATAGATGAAATAAAAGTTTCCTTGTAGCACTCAAATTCACTTTCACTTCCTTTTCTCTTTATTCAGAGGTGGCTTAGTGATAAAGCATTACCTCGTTAAAGTCACCCACTCGCGGAATATGGTTTTTCCTAGATTTTCCAATAACGTTGCCGGTGTGGGAGATAACAACTGCGGCATTCCATAGTACATCATCTCGCCTCTCATCGCGCTCTAGTATTGGAGAGACAATCACAATGCCGTGTTTTCTAGCAAGCTTGAAATGAAATTTTTGAGGATGAGTAAGCAAATAAAATGGTTATAAATAAAAAGATGGCTTGGAGTTGTTTAAAAAACGGAAAATAAAGATTTTGAAAAAAATTGAACTTGTTGCATAAGTTGTGTCGTTGGTCCGTTTTCTGCAGATTCGGCGAATTCTGTCCAAGGCAAACGCTCGCGAGTGCAGAACGCAAACGGCATTGCTAAAAAACTTTTAAGTCATTGTACAAAAATCATTTGCGAGAAGAAAATGGACAATATAGAGTAAAATAGTTCAAGGAAAGATAGCTTACTCCATGCTTCTTGCATGCAAATTATATTTGCTCCACAGGCGGCAGCAGCTTCAACCATCATTTTAATACGGCAATGTATCGCATCTCTTTGTTGTTGTACGGGAGCATTAGTAGGTTCCACAATGGCATTTTGGATGGCGGCAACACGAACCTAAATTAATCGTGTCTTACCTCCGTTTTCTTTGGAATATTTTTGTATTTTAATGGTCTGAAAAATATATTACTTTCCGAGGAGTGCGAGTTTGTTCTGGAGCTGCGTCGATCACGTATCCGCTAATTTCAAAGTTGTGCTTCTCTGCCTCTTCTTTTACCTCTTTTGGAATTGAAATGGTTCTAGAAAATGATATGGTTTAGAGAGATGATGCTTAATAATCAACATATGCTAACTGTTAAGTCTTCTTTGCGACTAAAAATCAAAGCTATGGCATATTTAGCATTGGTGATTCTCACTCTTGCTAGTGTACTGTTTTTATTCAAACTACTTCGTTCTCTTATCAATCAGATGCACTTAGGTAATGCTTGTGAGTTCAGTGTAGTATAAATGTAAAAGTTTTATATTGTTGCGCTAAACAGTATAAATTAATATATGGATGTAACCGAGCCAGTTGCACAGAAATGAAAGATCTGAATAACAGCTAGACTTACGGCAGTATTTTGCCATTTAGGATAGTCATTACAGAGGACAGTTCTTCTCCGGAAAGTGCTTTTTCAAGTACCTGTTCTACACCAGGCATTTCCCCAGAAGTATTGCCAGATGCCATTGTTTTTTGAAGCTAAAAAATGCAACAGAACAAGCAAATTGTTCTTGAAAGTAGGTGAACCTTTAAACAGCAAACAGTCATTAATAACGCTACTGAAAACAAACCCAACAAAGACTTATTTAAAAAGTTACCCAGTTATAGATTGATTATCAAACAATAATATTCTTCAAAAAAACTGAAGCTTAAAATATTGCTGTACAGTTACGTGATTACTTACTTATTAGCAAGTAAAAGTCATCAGAAAGTAGATGAAAACGATATTAACAACTGAATCTTTCAAAAAACCAGAAATACTCATCAGGTGAGAAGAAGTGGTGAACGGAAATAGACCTCAAAAAGAAGCAATTTGAAGTATGAATAATTTCATATAATCGACCTTTATTTAGTTGCATTTGGATGCTTAATCGTCTGATTTTTTGATTTGAAGGCAACAGACAACAAAATTATAAAAGTTCCTTGCGGTAAGTTTTTGCTGAAAAATAAAATAATTGTCAAAACTTTTCCTATCATTTTTTTCTGCTTTTTTTTTTTTACTAAAAGTTACATAGTGTTTTTTCTTCAACAGTATCTCAAAATTCATTATTTATTTGCTTTTCGTCATAAACTTTTTAACAGAGCTTATCATTTTGGAAGCAATTTTGTTACATTAATGACTGCTTAACAATAATAATATTATATAGTAGATAAAAAAGAAATCTGTCGTCTATGTAGCTTACCTAGCAAACTTGACTTATAGTATAGTGATTGGTATCTTTAAGAGACTACTGACATTTAATTTAAAAGTAGCCAACTTGTATTGCTGTTGTCACTAAATAAAAAGTTAAACAAATTATTGGACTTGTCTAGCGTACATTAAACAAACAAAGACTGTTCTACAGATGTGACCTATACGAGTAATTTTAACGTTTTTAAATAACTTTGACTGTAATTTCACAGAAAAAAACTATAATTGATGCAACTATAGTCTCGTCTGCTTACTGATAGACATTTAAGAGTCAACTGCAAAAGCTTAAACATTGCAATAAGCGTAAGCTGTAAGTGTTGCTATAAGGTTGTTATGCTTAAGGTGATGATCCTATATAAATTCTTTTGCTAGATTATTCTTTGAACACTGCAACTGTAACTGTTTGATTAAAAGGTTCAACTTCAAACAGAAAAAAGACGTTGCGTATATAAATATAACTAAATTTGTATATATAAGTTACAAAGAGCAATTTGCGTATAAGATCAGTAAAAAGCTGGTTGACAAGTTAAAAGTAAGTAAATTAACCTAAATTAACAGTTTGCAAATGAATGTTAGTACCGAAGAATCATCAGCGTTATTTCTGTATTTATACATCTTTTGAGACGACCTCAACTACGTTTTACGGTTGTATTGCTGAAATATTTTCAAGCAAAAAAAAA